AAAGAGATAGAAAAAGTGTGTGTGTGTGAGAGAGAGAGAGAGAGAGAGAGAGAAAATATATAAATGAGAATGATCAATCATGGCCCATGGAAAGATGTGGAAAATGAGAAATTGAAAGAACAAGAGAAGGTGAGAGAGAAAATATTCACAAGATGAAATTCTCAGTCTTTGTAACCTAATTTCAGAGTGATATCCCATTCCATTAGCCATATTTTATTTATTTAAAGGTTCAGGTAACACTCAAGGGGAAGAACAGCTACAAAAAGTCTTCGATACCAGGAGGTGAGAATCACTGGTGACCATCTTAGAAGGCTATCTATGAGATACATTAAGGAATTATTGTTAATTTTTTCCTTAGGTATGATAATAATATTGTCGTCAAGATGTTTTTTATCTTTTATTGATAAATACTAAAATATTTACAGATGAAATAATATTAAACATTTGTTTCAAAATAATACAATAGGAGGTGGCAAAGTAGATGGGGGTATAAATCAAACAAATAGGACCAAAAACTGAAGAACATTGAAGCTGGATGTTGAGGATTAATTCTATTATTCCTTTTAATTTTGTGTTTGCTTGAAATTTTTTAAAGAATTTTTTTTTAATAAAAATATTTTACTTTCCATCTACTGAATTTCTGTGTTTATTATACAACAGCTGTTATCTGGGTCAAAGTAAAACAAGTGTATTTAATATGCCCCCTAAACTTCAATAGTAATAAAGTCAACATGCCATGATTTTATGATTGATCTTTATATTACTTTATATTTATTCAATCAATGCTGAGTCCAGAAATGTATGATATTTCAACCTATTTATATTAAGGTCTAATCTGTTTAAATAAAAGTTCTGCAGCTATCATAGAAACTTGAGATGACTACCCTATATTAAAAGCCCCATAAGGCTGAATACTCAGAGTAATGTCATCTTAGAATAAAATTCGCCAAGTGGTGTTATAATTATTTCCCAAAGTAATTATAAATTAAATTTACATACTAGCAGTTAAAGTTGGCTGCATCCTTTAGAGTAAAGAAGTTGAGCGATAACATGTAAAGAATGCTTATTTTAAAAACACATATATGGTTAGGGTAGAAAAAGATGCATATTTTGATTCTTTAATTCATTTGGTAGATAGAGAGGATGTGGTAATTTTTAATAACACGTATTTTTCAGCAGAGTATATAAAGTGACTTTTCTCATAACCCAGAGGCACTAATACTAGAAATATTAGGTTAGTAAATGAAAAGAAGTATAAGACTTAAAAAATAGGAGACAAGGCACCTGCTCCTAAAATATATTAACATTTGTCTAAGAAGAATATATTCACAAAAAGACCATATGTGTCACAGCATACCTGTCAACTTTTGCATCACCCTTTTAGAATTCGCCTGTCTTCATGATGTTCCTCAAGTTCTCTATGACGCCTTCCCTTATCCCTCAACCAATGGGAATCTCTCTTCCATATTCCTTCATTGATCTGTGTCACACATTTATGTGGCAGCATAGTCAATATTTTTTGGTTTGTGTCCTTTTCTAAGAGTATTTTTAATATCTTCTTAGGCCATGGATTAGCGTTTTGAAAGCCTGGGCTGGGTCTCTTACTTTGTGTACCCCTGAAAGGCCTTGTAATATGGGTTCTCCATACATACATGTTGAAGGAGTAATGGAATAAAATGATTTGCAAAGCTTTGATATTTATTGACTAAGTTTTATTCCACTGTAGAGTGTGTTCCTGTGTAGTCTTCTCAGTGATGTGTATTGAACTGTTCTGTATGGGCTCTGTTCAGTTGGGGAAGATATGTTAGTTGTTAACTCTTTACTTGAAGAGCTCTTTCCTGGGAAATCTTACAGGCTTTTGGGAACAACATGGGATTAAAACGTTTTAGGTCTCTCTTCTCTCAGTACATTGCAGGTACTTACTGTGTTGTTATCTCAGTCTAATTGCTTTAATGCTTTCTCTTAAGATACTGTGTGAATGAAGAATCTGAGATGTATCGATAAAAATGGTGCAATGTGGTGAAGCAGAGGTGATACTAGAATTCTATTATCAAAGTGACCTTTAAGTGCTTTCAGAATTTTCTGTTACGTAATTTAGTAATAAGTTGAGTTCATTGCGTTCACATGAATTCTTGTTAATTCTTTTTAAAATGATTAACATTTGAATAGTATATGTTGATATAGCATTTCTACATTGCCTTTATAATTTAAAATATATTTGTTATTATATCTGATGCATTTTATGAGAAGACATTAAAGCATGCTCAATGAACTTATAGATCATTTTAAATTCAGAGTCTTAATAACTGCATGCTTTAATATCTTCTCATAAGAAAATGTGTCAATGTCTGAATATGTAGCTGCTTTTTAAAAAAATAAGTAAATATAAAACAAAACAAAATGAATGAACATAAATGCTTTGAAAATATCCTTAAACATTAAAGAAAAATATTGAACCTGAGCTCTTTGGAAAAATGCAAAGAAGCTTTACTCTTTTCATTTGGTTCATGGTTGGAAAAGGCTTGGAGAATGGAAGAGAAGCTTCCCTGGGATTGGAAGAACATCAGGCAGAAGCCTCTAGACTAGGGGGCTGAAGAAAGCGCACTGAGGAGACCCACATTAGAGTCCCCTTGCTATTCTTGATGAGGACTCTCTCCTGAGGTACTCTCCTGGGGGAAGTCTTACGGCTTCCAGCCTGTGCAGGCTGGTAAGGGAGTCACCCAACGTCTTGAAGACCTCCATATCTTCACATGTTCAGGAAGTGACTTTCGAGGAATTCACACAGAAGAGCTTATTCAGGCACATCAAGGTTTGATTCAGGTTCTTCTCACACCGTGGAAACCTTTATGGCATCCAAGTTATTCTTCCATCAGTGATGGCCTATGAGCTCCAGGCATGATGTTGGAATAAAAGCTTAGGGAGAAAATATAGAAGGTCCTCTCTTCCCTTTCAGGCAAGCACATTACATGAGTTTCACTCCCAGGTATATCTAACACTATTCTGGTGAGAGTTTCACTTCCAGGATTATCTAACAATATTCTGAAGACAAACACAATCAACTTTCTACTCTAGATTTAGAATTAGAGCCTTCTACTAGCTAAGGATGGACAGATGCAAATGGAGCTCCTAACCCAAAGTGCTATTTCAAATATACTAATGGGCTAACCAGGATTCTAATACACTTATTGAGGCAAGGGGGTATCGCAGTTTTTTTCTAGCTAATTACATATCTTGAACACATTCATCAATGAAAAGCATTACTAATGTACTTTATGCTAATTCATAGATGTCCTGGGGATATATGTGGATAAGTCTGAATCACTTGTATAGCTACCCTGAGCACAGATTTTGAATAAAGATCCTTTCAAACATAAGTAACACTTCATCACCACCATGACCAGCGTAATTATAATACATAAATATTTTAAAGTATAAGACTGACAATATTACATTTGAGTAAATGACTTATAAAAGACATTCAGCCAAATGAACAGTTTGTCGCAAGTTAGGGCTTTTGATTGATAGACTATTCTCTAGTCTCCTCATCTTGATTAGATGTTTTTTTCCCCACTATCTTAAGAACTTACATGGGTGCAGATCTAGTGAGCTCTTTCACTCTTATTCCTTAAGTTTGTGCTCTGACTACTACCAGCCCACTCAAATGGATCTTATCAGGGTCAATAAGGACTACTATTAATATAATGATAAGTCATTGACCCATTCTTGACTCTTATGTTAACCTATCAGTAACACATGACACAGCGAAATTTTCACTCAAATGTCATCTCTTTGAGGCCTTTCTCAGTCACTTGATCTAGAATTCTAAGTCCCTGCCTTATTACTTCCTTTCCACTTCTTTGCCTCTTCTTCTTAGCTGTTACGTGCATTTAATATGCTACAGGTTTTACATATCAGTCCCAGTTATTTTCTTTCTCCTCCCAACCAGAGCATGAGCTCCACGAGGGCTGTAATTTCTGTCTGTTTTATTCATTGTTTTATCACTGGTGCCTAGAACAATGCATGACACAAAAGAAGTGATTATTGTGCATGAATGAATGAAAAATATCATTTGTGGAAACCTAAACCAACATGAGCTTGTGGAAAGCAATGTGAGAATGTTTATATGTATAAAGAGGGTTTCAAAAAACTTGTTCATGTATTTTTTATTCCAATGAATTTATATTTAGAAATCTATCATAAGTAAATAATCAGAGACAAGATGCAAATTCTGAGTCCCTTAAGTATTATCACCACAGGCTGCTGGAACACATCTGATAGCCACATGAAACTATTTACTGCTAACCTGAGATTTGACTACAAACCATTGTTGTATTCCCCATCTCTGCAGATGCCGTGTATTGTTTTGTATTGTGCTGTGTGTCATAAGATGTTCACTTTGGTGGGGGTGATGTAAGATAGAGAGCTTCATTCACAGTCTTTGGGAGTTTACATTTATACAATTTTATGAAAGCAATTTTTTGCAACAAAAGACTTACAAATATTAAAATTGTTAACACACAAATTCCACTTAGAATTAATCATAAAGCAATACTCATACAGGCAACAATTTACATAAAAGGACAGTCATCATATAATTATTGATAATGGTTAAAAGTTGAAAACCTTAACGTTCAGAAATTAAATATTTATTCAGTGGAATATTTGTTTTCACAGACTAATAATCTGCAAAATGTCCTTGATAAGTGAAAAATCACATTTTTTTGAGAGCACAACTCCAAATCATCTTTTATTAATATGAAAAGGGCATATTTAGCAAAAGACACACTGAGAAAAGAGTCACTGTGGCCCAGGACATGGGGCAGAGAGGTGCCAGGCCTGAGCCCCTGCTGGGAGAGAAGGAGGCTCAGGACAAAGTGGAAGTGCTGGGAAGAGCTGCGTAGTGGGGCCACAGAAAGCTCCAGTGGGCAACACTGTTGGCAGGTCATGGGTGGCACTCACCGGGACCTCGCTGCTAACTCTTGTTTTTGGGGGTGGCACAGTTAGTGCTGCCACCTCGAGTGAGAGCCGCACCTTGGTTCCTGGAGGGCACCCACCAAGGGACACAGGACAGGAAGTCCAGGATGGCTAGTGCAGCTCGGGATGAAGGCCAGGGAGAAGCGGGTGCTCTGCAATGGCCAGGAAAGGTCCAGACCCTGAGGCTGAGGGGCTTCCTGTTTCGTGCGGACGCTCCACTCCGTCTCTGCCAGGCACTCTCCGACTAGGGCCCGGGCATGGATGATATCTCTCTTCAGGCCCTTCATGGTGCTCTTGCTGCCAGCATAGGTGGGCCGGATCTCTTTGCTCATCTCCTCTATGACCGACAGCAGGTCCTTGTAGGGTATTCTGGGAGTCCTGGGCGCTGGTGACTTCATCTCCCGCACAAAGCCCATGGAAGGCGGCCCGAAGTCGTTAAACAGTGGTCTGAAAGGGGCAGCGGCCCCTGACTTTGAGCCCGAAGGCGATGGGACGCTTCGTGACCACGCCCACTTCATGGACCAGCGGGGCCAGCAAACTGAGGCTCAGCGAGGGTAGGCGGCAGGCCAATATTGCAGAACTCAGGTTGTCTTCATTTCGAGGTCTCCACCGTCCTGTAGACGAGCAGGAGTGGAGCTAGATCCTCACCTGGTAGGGATTGGGGTGCACGGCCCAGGGGAGCTGGAGCAGGGGGTGAAAAATCACTAAACAAGGAATCCAATTTTATATTAACAGCATATATCTTTTTTAAAATATAAGTATAGAGAAAGGGGATGAAATCAATGTTACAATGTTATCTGTGGAATTTGACATGGGTGATTTTCCTCACTAGAATATTAAGGTAGAATAAAAAATAGAATGGGACAGTAAAAGTCAGGTTCTTGATTGAAAATCTCCAGGTCTCCTTGCCCAACCTTTTACATTTGCACAACACTTACATGTCACCTTCTAACAATTGATTCTCCTAACCGCCCTGTGAGGTTGGCAGGTCAAGTATCATTATCTGCAGTTATTATATATAGACCCAGAGAGGTTAAGAGATTTGCCCAAGGTAACCCAGTTAGAGGGTAATAGAACTAAAATTAAAAAAAAGATTAAAAAACTCCATCTCTTCCAGTCACATGCTTTCCCCTACACTGTTCTAAACTATTGTACTAAAAAAATTAGAAAAGAGAAAGGCAGTGATTGTGTTCTCCTGAAAGCTATTTGAGTGTGCTTCTATTAGTGCCAGACAGCTTTGAAGTCATTGATTGACCCTGAGAGATGATGAGATTGTGCTATATGGAACTTGGCCATCGTTACCATGTGATTTTCAATTAAGAAGCAAGACAAAAGTATCCAAGTGTCATGGTCATAACCTGAAGGGTTCAGACAAGCTACTAGCTGCATACGAATCAGGGAGGACTAATCATTTGTCTGTGTGTGCTGACTGTCATTTTTCAGAAGAAATGGTCTTTCACACTTGTGGCCAAGCTATTTTATTTTTCGTACTATGGGTGTTGTCATTTGTGAATTAGGTCTTTAACTTATTTTTGACTCTTGGGAAAACTTATTCCAGAATATTCATTGAACAATCACTACAATAATACAGAATGTGAAAGTGTGTTGTTGAGAACAGAACAACTTTGAGAAGTTCAGCAGGAAGACTGCCGGGGAAAGCATAAAAAGCTGTGAACTTAAAGATGTGGGATCAATACAGCCAAGCTGATGGTCCAACTGTCTAACTTTCAGCAAGTCACAACCACTAAACTTCATAATTCATAAACCAGTGCTATTAATCTCTATCTCATAAAGTAGTGAAGATTAAAATAAAATAACTTGTGCCAAAGGGTCTAGCCCTATAATAAAGTGTAAATTTGCTGAATACATTTTTGTTTTGTTTTGTTTCAGTGTAGTGATATAGAAACAGTATCCTCTAGGATGTTAGCTGGAGACTTTAAGGGTAAGCACCTTACTGTGAGAAAGAGCGACTTCATGAAGGAAATGTCATTGGTGCTATGTGATATGCCCTTATGAATTGGCCACTAAGGAGGACATGAAGGAGCCACGTGAAAAATGTTGTAATCATGCCTACCAATGGCAGCTACTTAGGTGTCATTGTTGATTGATCTTATTGCAAAAGGTAAGAAGTACTCTTTCTCAGGTACATTGTAAAGAAGATGAAAAGGACATATCTACCTCACACTATTTTTTTAATATCTTAATTGTAAAGCAAGCTGCAACTGTCAGAAAACAAAATTGACATGATTGTCACTCATACTTGAATGAATTGATATTATTAAGCACTTTCTTGTTTATCTCTTGGCACACTTTTTATTGACCTATATAAAATTTACTTATTTTAGTAATACATTATTATGAGATGTGGTTTTTATTCTCCATTTTTTACCTCACCATCAATTGGATATAAATTCTGTATCTCAAATATGTGGATCTCAGTTTCACCTTTTAAGACTTTTTACCAATTCAGTCATTATTTCAAGATCTTTTTATCCTGTTATTGACGTCTCTAGGTCCCAGACACTTTGACTTTTATTTTTGAGTGATGCACTTGACAATTTAGTTTTAGGGTCTCCCTGGGTACCATGAATGAAATAATTTGATGACCATGATGTCATGCTCAATAATCATTCATGAATCCTCCTTTAGGACATCTAGAAACTCTTACCCAAAAATCAAAGAAGACAAGATTATCAATTTCTCAGAATGAATTAACTTTTAATATTAATGCTAATGTCACAGCACATAAAGATGCTTCTTGTGGTTAAGTTTGAAGATGCAGAAATCCTTGTCAAGTTACCAAGCCAGAGATGTGCTGTGATCATTTGCTCTTTATCTTTGTTCTTAGTGCTATGCCTGCTGGCTACTTGGCAGGGTGTATCCTAGGTATTCCTTTGTAGAGCATGTGTCCTAACTCTGTGTTCTAGGTTCATTTGCTCACTCATCCATTTAACAAATAACTCTTGGGTGCCTACTATATACTAGGCACAGTTTTCTGAACTGGGGATACATAAAAAAATAAAAAATCCATAGCTTTATGGAGCTTATATTCTAGTATGAGTCACTAAAAGTTAGCAAGTAAAATAAACAGGATGTTAGCAAAGGTGTCCAGATTAGTGTTGCCAAACCAGTAAATACAGCCATATAAGAGACTTACTTCAAAAATTTATTTAGTGATAAGATGTTTGAAAATCTTCAAGTAAAACAAGTATTTTCATGTCAAAATTCTACCACTGTCAACATGTGGAAACATGATGCAATTCTAGTTTGTACCCAGATGGCATGGTTTAGGGCTGGTCACAAGTGAAATATCTTAAGTGTTTGTGTGGATAACCTTGGCTTTAGTCACTATCATTTTGTACATAGTGTATAAAAAAGCAAGCTCCTTTTCTGCGGCTTCCAGTTGACCTTCTACAGAGTTTCTACAGAGTTGTTCCAAAAATATTTGAATAGTGGAAGTCTCATAAGAAGCAGCATGTGACGTCATCTTAAAAGCTGAGCACTTTCCAGGGTATTTGGACATTTGTTTAAAACAACAAAATTAATATCTCTCTTATGGTGTTATCATCGTCGAATGAATGTCATCAAATGTCAATCTCATGATAACAGCCTTATCCAGTAGATGGTAATACTGGGGCAGTGTTGTTCCTAAGCTCCTTGTCAGCAATGTAAACATTGCCAATATTCCTAGGGCTTGGGAAGATTAATATTAGATGAGGCTAAGAAGCGTGGGCTGAACTATAAAAATATCTTGTTTATAACAAGGTCCCATAACAGGACCTGGCCTTGACTCACTTGGAATGTCTGGGTGGACATCAGAACAAATTGCACTATTAGAATTTGATAAAAAGCCTCATTTGCTGCTTAAATTTGAACATTACCCAGATGACTAGAAAATAATGTGGAAAAATATTCAACTCTCTGCTTTTGCAATATCTCCCATTGAATGTCATAATGGATGGATGAGCATTTCAGGAATAAATACTGGCAGTTAGAAATACTGTGTCCTGTAAGTCATTTGAGCTATTTGTGGGAGGTGTGAGTACCTAAAAAAATTCAGGTTTTGGTAAGAAGGAGGAAGGGTTAACAGACGGTAGGTAAACAACACACCCAGCTGCACACTCCAAATTAAAATTGAAGCCATCACACATTTTGTTTGCATATGCTACTAATAGTTGTTTTGAAATATAATAAATTGTCCTGTAGGGTCAGCATAACAATCTAGTTGGCACAATTTGGAATTAGTTGTATTAATTATGTGTTTGTTGGTGTTGTGAATAGGGCTTTGCTATTACTGGGTAAACACTAGTACTTGAGTCTTTTCTTCAAAGCATATATATGTATGTATGTATGTATGTATGTATGTATGTGTGTATATATCCCAACAAAGGAGCTCATTTGAGAATGTGTGCAGCAAAATAATATTGTAGCTTCATGTAGGAAACGTGACAGGAAAGGTAATCACCTAACTCAGAACTCATAAAAAGCCTGATGTTTTCTCTTATTTGTCCTTTATATGTGTATATATATATATCTTGAACCTTGCAATAGTCTATGGAGAATACATGAAACCACATATTATGATGCTAAGGAATTAAAGACATTTGTATTCCCCTGACTATATTTACTAATACCGTTCTTGTTCTGTTGCTATTTGTTATGTAACAGATCAAATATATGACTTAGCCCCCATATATGTTTCTAACTTGAAAAAGAGTGTGAACAAAGTCAAGTGATGGTGATTTGCTGCTTTGAGTGTTGAGCATTTTCTGCTGGTTGTTCTTCTCTTTCACAGTGTTTCTGGGCACTAAAGTAAAATTCTGACTGAGTTCATATTGCTGAGAATAGCTTCTAATTATTTGTTTTTATTGTGTCTCTCACACCTGACATTGTAACAAGTATTTTGATGCCACTATTGAAAATTATAGTTTCAGGGCCAAGACAAGCGTTAAGAGCTGTTAAGTCCCTGAGCCACAAAGAACCAGTGTTAATGAAGCCATCCCCACTTGCAATATTACTAAATTTTATGTAATAGACTGTGTTTTTCCAATGTTTCCTAATGACGGTCCTTGCACACTTTTACAACACTTGGAATGAACCTTATACTCACTGCCAGGGAAAGCCAGGTGAGCCACTGTGTGCAGAGCAGAATGAGGTACTACTGTTGACTGTCACACCTGCTGTGATTTCCTCTGGAAATGGTGGCTTCCTAGTTGCACAAACTGACATACTGTGTCGCACAAAATTATGATGTCTTCCCTCTCTAGCCAACTACATACTTGTCACCTCTAAAACTGTTAAAATCTGTATTTATGTAGGGTATTCAGTTTTACTTTTTGCTTTGTAATGTGTCTCAACTGTATAGAGCTGTAAAACAAGGTTCCAGTGTATCCATTGGTAATTTTTATTTTCCATCTGTTGAAGCCATTTGAAAAAGCTGATGGTCTCTTACTAGCTCAAACTCAGAGCTCGGAAAATAATAGTTTATAATATTCCCATGGTGCTTTTTAGAGTCATTTTTTTTCTTGGTACTTAATTTTTTTCTTTCTCTGGGTGATAGTTTTTTACTTCCAGCATAGAACTGTAGGTGTTTGGCTGTCTCTTTTTTAGATTTAATGCCACACACTGCGTTCCACTGCTACAACATGTGTGTACAATAAATTTTCTTGTAAACTGAGGGTTTCAAGGCTAGAATTCTGTCAAGCTTATATTTTCAGAGCTCTTGAAATATTTTCCACTTAGCAACCTCTTTGCATTACTTGGAAAGCTTTTATGGGGCTTGTCAGTCAAAAGGATGACTCTAACCAAAGAAAGAACAATTCAGAGAATGATTTTTAGAATTAGTGTTAGCTTCATAGGTGAATCAATGGCTGTAACGATTTGCATTGGAAGTGTTCAAAAGGCAAATATTTAGCCTCCATTTACATCGTGTATACTAAGGGAGATAATTGCTTATCACATATCCATATTTTGTCTATTTTCTAAAACTCAATGTTACAGTTACTATTTACCCCATTTTGAGCTGATGTTTACAGGAACCGAATATAAAACATAGATTAGTGAGGACAAGATGACATAAAGGTGGATGAGTACAGATATATGTATATATCCACAAATCTTGCTCTGAGTCATTGTGTTTTTTTTTTTAATCTAACTAAAAGACTGAAGTGAGAACAATGTTTTCAAAGATAGCTATACCTCTGTCTGTGTTTCAGAATTACTTGGGTCACCTTCTGCATTGACACTGGCTTGCCCAGAATCCAGGAGCACATACTGCTGATCCTATCAGTAGTTATGGGGAAAATATTAATGGGAACATTATTAATTTATGGAGATTTCCAATGACCCATATGCACTCTTTGACCAACAAATTGTGTGTGCAAAGAGTGTGTGTGTGTGTGTGTAAGAAAGAGAAAAAGAGAGGCAGAGAGATGGAGAGGCAGAGAATACAGCATTGCTGGCTACACTCAGCCAGTTGACCAGGGTAATGGTGGCTCTGCAAGGGGCGTCAAGACCTGGCCTTATACCTGAAATGATGCCTGACTATGAATAAGGTGTAGGACAGGATTCAGTGTTTTCCCCTGGATGTTTAAACTGCATCTTAGTTGTTTTCTTCATCCTCATTCTCATAAAAAGATTCCTGCAGTGCAAGTTCCCAATGCATATTCACCTTGGGTGTTTAATTTAAGTAGCTCTCCACCTTCATCTCAATCCTGAATTGCCATGTGTAAACTTGTCAGTGATAATGGCTAATATTTACAAAACATGTTTTGAATGACAGGGATGGCTCTAGATCATTTATATGCATTATTTTATTTCATTGTCTTAAATATCTTGTGAGTTTCCTACAAGGAACTTTTCTTAAGGTCTCAAGAGATAGTAATTGGCAGAATATGGAATTAATGTCACGAATGTCTCCATGAACTTTTTATTTAGACCACAAGCCCTAGTGTTTCTAAGATGTGAAGTGTGTTTTAATTTTAATCAGTTTCTCTTATGTCAGACTGAAGTCTTACTGCTGAGCCTATGTTGATTAGATAAATATTTTCTAGCCATGAAGAGATCTGGAGTGACTATTTCTCTGGAATTTTGAGTATTAATCATTGCCTACCCATGTCTTGAGCTCCCATCACGCCTTCTTACACCTCAAGTCTACGTTAATCTGTGCTACTCCATGCTTTGCCTTCCTTGATCATCAGTGTTAGCCCCTACCCCAATTGATTTCCCTCAAAGTCACATTTCCGTATCTATGCTCACACACAGGTGAGAGCCAACAAATATTTCATTTGTGTAATACAATTTAGCATTCCGAATGAAAACCCATGGATGCACAGGTGATATTGTTTATATTGTAATTCAGAGCACATCAAGTATAATATTTGTTGTACACAAGTTATCCTTTCATAAGAATTTCTAAGACAGAATTTTAGATGACATAGTGCATGCTTCACCATCCTATTTTGACCCCAAAAGTTTTTATTTTAATGTTCCATTTTATTTTAACTAATATAGATATTTATCTACAATTGTCTCACTTTTGTATTTGGAAAAACCATTTATATGTGATAAAGAACAATTGCTGAATACTTGACTACTCACATATATACATGTTTCTTATTTAGGGGACATATATTACTCTGGTGACAGGGTCTGGTGCCACTGTGACCAGTCCTCTTGTCTTGTTTGTCTTACCGAGAGTAGACTGCCATGATTCTGTTGAAATATCTCACATTCCTTATACCCTTATTTTGAGGAGAAAAGCAGAATTCCTGAAAGTACATTTCATAGACCACTCATAGAGGTGCCTGAGGGAAGATGCATCATGGTGATATATGCAGAAATTCTTGTATAATATATCCACAGTCTTCTTAGAGATTCCCAGAGAACTTTAATATTTTAAAGGTTCTGAGAAGTCCTGATGAATGAAATATCTTCACTGTTCTGTATACTTATTTGGTCACATAATTCTCTTTTCATATAATAAATCTTGTCCTGTAGAACTGAGGTCGTATATAGCATATTTTGATAAGATAAATGCTATTCTAGAAACTTTATATTAATTGGATAAAGCTGGAAAGCTTAACTAGTCTCTAGGTTCTTCTGATTGACTGGGACAAGTATAGGAAAAAGGCTGTGAGTTTTACATCAATAAAACTACTCATAATGCTACTCAATACTTACTCTTATAATTTTCAAAAGTTAAAAAGACCATGTGGATTCCATTTCAGCCAAACAGAATGATAATTGAAAAATTAAACTTACTGGAGATTAAATTGGTTCTGGGAAATCTTGGTTTGATACTTCCATCCTAGAGCACTTACAGGATATGCATAGAAACCTGCATAATTGCAAGTAGAGAGCACCTACCAGTCGATGACCTCCATCCATTCAGGTGAGAAACAGTCCTGTGTACCCTTGGTATTCCACTTCAGCTGTTATTATGATTCTCGTAGGCTGGTGGTAATCAGATCAAAGAAGCAATACTGCTGTAAGTCATACCCAAATAAGTTGAAGGATTATAGACAGAAGTAAATTTTAGTTCACAGGGAAAATTTGATGAAGCATTAGGAAAATAAAGCTCATAACTGCTGGGTGATTTGGTTTTACTCCTCCCCCTTTATTAATCTGTAGTTTTCCTCTGAGTTAAATCCTGTGATAATTAAAAACATAGTATTGATTCTTATTGCTAGTTTAGCATGTTTATTTATCAGTCAACATTTAATACATATTTATAAAACACCTCCTGTTTACCTTGCCAAGAGATACAAGAATAATCAAGGCACAACCTCTGCCCTCTCTCATGAAACACATAGTCTACTAGGAAGACAAACAGGTGTCAATAATCCCTCTGTTGACGTGATATGCATGTGGAAGGTATGGGCAGGACAAAGGGGGATCGTTAACTCTGTCCTACTTTTGGGAATTTATAATACTTGATTGTAAAGGATTTGGATGACTAAGCCAGGTAAACAAAGGAGAAAGAAACATTTTATGTGTGGAAAGCAACATGTGCTGAGGCATTGCTGTACTGAAGAGCAAGGTGTTAAGCGATCAGCAATTACTATAGTATTGCTGAAGCCTCAAGAGTGCTGATAGGAGTGAAAGTAGATAAAGCTGGAGCCAAATTATGAAGACTCTTTCCTGTTAAGCAAAGCAGTTTTCACTTTACTGCAGGTAATGGGGGAGCTTCTGATGGGTTTTAAACTTAAAGACAGTCCGGATGTTTGGTACCCTCTTAGCCTTCCCCAAAATTATAATCTATGCACTACTATTTCATGTGTCTATGCCTTCCCAATACTAAATTGTCTTCTGATTTTTTCTTCCACAAATGACAACAGCATAGGAGAGCTGCTTTTCTACTACTTAAACTTTCAGTGTGTAATATCATCTTTGCCTGCTTTCTGTTGTGGTATATCTACTTGCCCTTCTAATAAATAGATTTGTTAGCATAATTGAGATAGTTATTTGACATGCAAGTGATAAACAATAGGAGATGATAAAATATTTCTCACAGGATTTAGGGTCCTTGTCTCAAATGTCCTCAATTTCACTTTCAGAATCTTATTAAACTTGGATGCTAGACCATGCATGAAGGATAATATGTCTTGCTGTTAGTAAAATGAGTGCTGTTTCCGTGGTAATCACCTTAGATTGGCTCAGAACAGCGTACCCACTTCTGCGGCTGCATGGAGAGAACACTGTTGCTTAGTGTGACAATGTCAATGGAATATGCCATTCTATTAATCTCCAGCCCTGGGATACAAAATTTCCTACATAATGTGGTGATCAGCCATTTCTGTTATGATTTTATGGCAAAAGCCAACTGGCTAATGCTTTAATTATTGAGGAGATATTTTCACAAAGTTACAGCACAGAATCTTTAGGAGGATGTTTTTTCATATCTCAAGGACAACGAGACTGTCTTGGGGGACACAGGGATGTTTGAGATTTGGGGTAAGAGCCATTTAAATTTTTTTTCAAAATTTGAATTGTTTTGATTATTAAAATCTTGATTGAGGAAATGTGTAAAACAAAGCAAGTATTTAAAAACTAGCTATAATCCTACCACTCAGAGAAAACCAATGTTAAAATATTTAGTACTTTCCTCTATTAATGTGCATCTCCAGTTCCATGCCAATATTCATATCTTATTCTTGTGGCCATGTCTGGTAAAATAAGAAGAATCACACAAATTTTACTGAGCCCACAATATGTCTAAAGCATTGTTCTCAAATCTCTCTGTGTATTTTCTCACAGAGTCCTCACAAAACTATTCGCTAGATATTATTATTACATTTTACACATGAGGAACTCAGAAAGAAAAAGATTAAGTGATCTACCACAGTCACGCAGCTTGTCAAGTGGTGGAGCCACATTCAAACTCAAGCTTCAAAGTCCAAGCCATAAAGAACATGCTGTGCTTCTATGTATTCACAAGTAAACATACATAGGGGCAGTAGAACATTTTAAATACGTATGTTTAAAACTAATGGCAATTTTATACTGCACAGTTTCATTCAGTTGTTTAATTTCTCCTTGCTAGTAGTTGAAAGTTGCATCTCCCTAGAAATGCTGTGTAATGATTTACTGTCATGGAACTCTGCTTGATGTACACAATAGGGATATAAATATGTTGCCTAACTTATTATTTTTAATACTGAAATTTGCTTAAAATAAACTTTTAACCTGCTACATTTTCATTATTATATTAACCTGAAGAAAAATTCTTTGTAAAGCTATTTAATTAAAATCCTTATACTAGATGGTATTATTCCATTCTCACATAGCTATAAAGAAACACCCGAGACTGGGTAATTTATAAAGAAAAGAGGTTTAATTGGTTCATGATTACATAGGCTATACAGGAAGCATAATGTTGGCATCTACTTGGTTTCCTGGGGGACCTCAGGAAACTTCTAATCATGGCAGAAGGCAAAGGGGAGTAGACACTTCACATGGCTGGAGCAGGAGGAAGAGAGGGTGGAGGTGCCGCACACTTTTTAACAATCACAGCACTAAGGGGATGGTGCTAAAGCATTCATGAGAACTGCCCCCACCGCCCCACAATTCCATCACTTTCCACCAGGCCCCACCTCCAACACTGAGGATTACAATTCGACATGACATTTGGAGGGGACACAGTTCCAAACAGTATCACAGACCATACTTAGATAATAGGCAAAACAGAAATTATGAACTCTAAAAATTAGTATCAGTATCAATTTTTTTATGTGATGGGGTTCACTTTTGAGTTATTTTTATTGAGGCATAATCTGAGTTTTAAAAATGTAAACATGCATGCGTCCACCTGCACATGAATTCCATCATCCAAGTAGGTTCCTTTGTGCCTATTCCCAGGCGATCCCCCACACATCCTCCAGAAGTAATCACATTCCTGATGTCTATTACTGTGTATTAGTTTTGTCTGTTCTAACATGGAATCACACAGCAGGCATTGTTTTGTATATTTAATATCTTGGTGTTATGTTGAAGAATCAGTAAGTACTATAGCAGGAGTCATGAACTACACACAAGTTGTAGGCCAAATTCGGTCATTTGCTTTCTTTTGTAAATAAGTTTTATTGAAACACAGCCAAACTCATTCCTTGACGTATCTTCTATGGTTTCTTGTGCATTTCAACAGGAGAGTTAAGTATGTGAGACAGAGATCATTGGTCTGCAAAGTGTAAAGTATTTATTATCTGTGTCTTTACAGAAAAATTTCCAAATCCCTATAATTACTAAAACCACAAGAGTGCTGAGAGAAGTACTGGCAGATAAAACTTGAACCTGATTATGGAGGCCCTTGCCTGCTAGAATTTTTCACTTTATCCCAAAGGCAACTGGAAGTTTCTGATGGATTTTATGTGCAAAGATGAGGCTTTGTTTCACTAAGCATGTTTTGAGACTCATTAATGTTGTTCCTTGTATCACTAGTGTGTTTCTTTTTATTGCTGAATAGTGTTCCATTATATGAGTATATTTTTCTTTGTCAATTAATATTTGGATTGCCTTACCATTTTTACTATCATAAATAACCCTACTATGAGCATTCTTGAATAAATGATTTTGTGGACATATGTTTTCATTATCTCAGTAAATATCCAGGAATGGAATTGCTGCATTATAGGATAAGTATATGTGTAACTTTATAAGAAATTTCTAAGTCATATTACAAAGTGGTTTTACCATTTTACACCTTTATCAACAATTCATGAAAGCTCCACATTTTTTTCTAAAATTGTGATGGTAGTGTTAGTATTTAATTTTACTAATTCTGGTGAATGTGTAATGATACCTTATTAGAGTTTTTATTTATATTTTATTGATATCTGATGATGCTGAATACATTTTAATGTGTTCATTGGCTGTACATATTATTTTGTGAAGTGTCTGGTCATGTCTTTTACTCATTTTCTTTATTATTGCTAAAATACGAGGTTTTATTTACTTGCAATTAGTATTATTTGTTTTACATTTTAGTTTTTTAATTGGAAATTATCAAATTATAGCTGTATATATTTATAGGGTACAAAGCAATGTCATAATTTATGAATACAATGTTGAATAATTAAATCAAACTAATTAACATATTCATCATTTAAAATATTTATCTTTTTTGTGGTTACAATATTTGAAATTTACTCTCTTAGCAATTTTGAAATGTAGAATATATTATTGTTTATGATATTTATCCCACAGTGCAATATATCTCAAAGAAAAAAAAACAAAAACAAAAACAAAAACACTTATTTTTCCTGTCTAACGAGGTTTTTCTGTGCTTTCACCATCATCTCCTTATCCCCCTCACCTTGTAGTCTCTGATAACAACCAATTTTCTCTGCTTCTTTGAGTTCAATTGTTTCAGATTCTACATGTAAGTGAGAATATGCAGTATAGTATTTGTATTTCTGTGCCTGGCCTATGTCACTTCACATAATGTTCTACAATTCTAAACATATTGTCACAAATGACAAAATTTTTTTCTTTTTTAAGACTAAATGGTATTCCATTGCATACATATACATACATATATATATATACACACACACACACATATATATAAAACATTTTCTTTTTTCATTCATTTGTTGATGAATACTTAGGTTGATCCCACAACTTGGCTATTGTAAATAGTGCTGCAATAAATAGGGGTGTGCAAATATCTCTTCAGCATACTAATTTCAAGTCTTTTGCGTAAATACTCAGAAATGAAAGTGCTAGATTATATGGTAATTCTATTTTTAGCGTTTTTGTGGAGCTTCCATATGATTTTCCATAGTGACTGTTCAGTCATACATTGTTTAGTGATGGGGATATGTTATGACAAATGTATTGGTAGATGAGTCTGTCATTGTGTAAACATCACAGAGTGTACTTACAAAAACCTCGATAGTACAGCCTCCTTCACACTTGGCTATATGATACAGTCTATTGTTCCTAGCTATAAACCAATACAGCGTGTTACTGTACTGAATACTGTGGACAGTTGTAACACAATGGAAAGTATTTGTGTACCTAAATAATCTAAACAGCAATGATACAGTAAAAATATGGTATGTAAGATAAAAAACAGGATACACCTACATAGGGCACTTACTATAAATTGAGTTTGCAGGACTGAAAGTTGCTCTGGGTGTCAATGAGTGACGAGAGAATGTGAAGGTCTAGAACATTACTGTCCACTGCTGTACACTTTATAAACACTAACTTATGCTAAAATTTTATATTAAAATTTTCTTTCTTCAATAATACATTAACCTTAGCTTGCTATAAATGTTTTACTGTATAAACTTTTAATTTTGATCATCCTTTTGATTCCTTTGTGATGACATGGTTTAAAACACAAATCGTACAGCTGTACAAAAATATTTCTTTCTTCATATTCTTTTCTGCAAGCTTTTGTTTATTTTAAATTTATTGTATTTTTAAAAATTTACTTTCTAAATGTTTTTATTAAAAACTAAGACATAAACATTAGGTTAGACATTAATGTTTAGTTTTTGTTAAAAACTAAGACACACATTAGGTTAATCTTCCACGTGGTTAGGATTATTAAGATGTCACTAGGTGATTTGAATTTTTCAGCTTCATTATAATCGTACAGGAACCTTATCACATATGCTGTCCGTAGTTAATATCGTCATGCAGTACACAACTGTGCTAATTTATGTTCCCAACAACAGTGTGAAAGGGTTCACTTTTCTCCATATCCTCACTATATCTGTCTTTTTGATAATAGTCATTCTGACAGGTGTGAAGTGATATCTTACTGTGGTTTTCATTTGCATTTCCCTAAGGATTAACAATTTTGAACATTTTTTCATATATCTGTTGGCCATTTGTATATCTTCTTTTGAAAAGTCTATTCTTATCCCTTTCTCATTTTTAAGTTATTTATTTTTTTTTCTACAGAGTAATTTGAGTTGTTTATATATTTTGAATATTAACCCCTCAACAAATATCTGGCTTGCAAATATTTTCTCCCAATCCATAGGCTGTCTCTTCACTCTGTTGTTTTCCCTGTTGTGCAGAAACTTTTTGAGTTTTTTATTTTTATGTGATCCCATTTGTCTATTTTTACTTTTTTTTTTTTTTTTCTCCTGCGCTTTGGGGGTCAAATCTAAGAGAGTCATTACTTATTTGTTTTTCCCTATGTTCTTTTAGTATTCTGCAGTTTCAGGTCTTACATTTAAGTGTAATCCATTTTGAGTTGATTTTTGTATATGGTGTGAG